TCCAATTTTGATTTTATAGACTTCATTACTTTATAAAAGGGTGTTTTAAAATAATTTCCAAAAAGCTTTATAAATTTGCTTTTCATTAAGGACGACAACGGGGCTGAGCAAACACAGGTAGTGCATACTCATGTCCATACCCACACTATTTATGGGTACCCGTGTGGATAGCGGTTATCTATGTATACCCAACAAGTTTTCAATTTTAATTATATTTTATAATAATTAATATATAAAAATAATTATTACTTGAATAATATCATAGATATATGATAATTTTATGATTATAATTTTATTATAAAATAATAATAAAATAGACAAATATAATATTAAATTTTATCATTTTTTAAGATATTTTATGGTTGCAGATACCAAGCTTTATTGGGCTGATATTGGGCTTAGCTCAGATTACATTTTATATGATCTACAAGCAAAAGCCTATATCTTCAAATGTGCCAATAATTGAGATAGAAACTTTCAACTACAATAAAGATGCCATGTTGAAAGATGAAGCAATACAAGTTGTAAAGAAGGCCCTAAAAAGGGTTAAAAGCCTACCAGGACCAATACTGGATCATAGAGACACACTTCAAAAACTCCTCAAAACACTCTCTTTTGAGCCGGATAATTTATCATCTAGTACTTGGATTAACCTTCGATCTTACGACGAAGATGACATTGGTGTCGAAATTGGAGTAGATATAGAGGAATATCCCAATCATTCTTCCCCTCACTATCAAATCACTAGTTAGTTTTGTAATTAAAAGTCATTGCTTTCTAAAACATATTAGTTACCATCAAGATAATAGGTTCTTGGTTAGAAAAATAAGTGAAATGCAACTTTTGTAATCTATTTTTCAATTGCAAATGGGTTGACATTTCAATTCATGTGCATATGCCTGTATAATATGTAATTTTTATTTTTCCTTCTAGATTGATTGAATTTTAGTTTGAGAAATGGTAAAATAATATTATAGATGTAATTGCACAAGAATCTTTATGGATATGAGAAACAGAAGCAATTTTCAAAATAAAGGTGGAACAAGATTGTGAAACATTGTGTCATGTTGGTTACTTTGGATAAATGGGAAAATTGTGTCAAGGAAGGTTAAAATAATATTAGAGTTATAATGGGATCCTTTTTTTATTGGATGGAGATTGCCATACATGACGTAAAAAAAAAGTGTTAACGATAATAATTTAAAGTTTTTTTAATAAAAAATTAAAAATATTTTTCTTCTCTTTAATTTTCATTACTTGATAATCTAGTAGATGAATTGTAATCTATATAATCATAGTTGGTGTTTTGGGGTTGTAGAGTCTTGTGATGGGACAAACAACTAGGTGTAGCACATTACTCATCATGAATTCTTATTAATCAATTAATTTAAATAATTAATAATGAGAAATGATATTTTCATCTTTTATTAATCACAAGCTTCATAAAAGGTTATGACACACATTATGGATAGCACACGTTGTATGGTTAGGAACTTGGGACAAATGTGATTTAATGAAGTTTAAAGTTATAGAAAGAAGACATAAGGTAAAAGAAAGGTAAGAATATATATTCAATTCTTAATATTTTTGGCAAGGATTTGTTTGATAGATTCTTCACTGAGTTATGTTGCCAAATCTCATTATCTCATCCAAGTGGACCTAACTACCTTGTCTATACATAATTCCTTAAAAAATTGTTGAATTAATTGTGTTCCCTCAAAATTTTGTTATTTTGTCTCGAAATTCATCATACAAAAATCATTAAAGGTAGAGTTATTTAAAAAGAACGTTATTCAGAAGGCCGTTGACATTAATTGTGCTATTTGCAAGAATAATGTGGAAATTATATATTTATCATCTTTTTCTATCTTGTGATTTTGCTTGTGCTATTTGGAAAGGATTTTACTCTTCGTTACACATATCTATTTAGATTTCTACCACAATAGGTGAGTTGTTTATGTTGCATGATACTCTTCCCAATGATAAATGGTCAAAGTTATGGAGGCTGTTGTGGTTCATTCTTATATATGGTCTATCTCGATTATAAGAAATGATTTTATTTTCTTGGATAAGGTTGTCAGTTATGTGCATATCATGAATTTGATCCAAGTTAGACTTTGGATTTGATTTATTTTCAAAATTGCATTCATGATCTTTCTCTTGTATTGAATTAACACCTCACGTTGCTTTTAATACATTTTGCTTATAGAAAAAAATATGGAGATTTAAGGAATAAACTCTCTCAATAAACATATAGAGAACACATTCTGTGTTTAAAATGTATGGTTTTAATCTTTGTCATTAAATTCCATCTGGTAACACTGCTGATATGTGAGATAAAATGTCACATTAGCTTGTTACATAATACATATACAGATAACTATTAAAATAATATAAAAATGTCTCATCAACATTCAAATATTAAAATGCTAAATAAAAAATCCTCAGAATAATAATCATCAACTTTTTAAGATCAAGAACAACAAACATTTTAAAACACAAAATTAAGAATAACAAACACTCAATCATAATCATACCTAAGGAAAAACCAAAACTTTATCAACTTTCATTGATGGAATCATATTTAACACAAATATGTGTAGGTTAGATTACTTAACCAATTTTAATTTTAGAAAATTATCATCAAAATTATGAAACCCAATGTAATAATAGAGGAAGAAAAGGAATCAATCACATGAGTCTTGAAACTCTCTATGATTTGATAAGCTCATAACCCAAACAAATTTATCTATGTAAAAAATTCTACCTCTTTCTTCCCTTTAACATCCAACACGCAACCTCAAAGCCTAATCTTTAAGATTTTGTGTTACTCCCTCAATTATTCTCAAATTATTTAGCTACGTTTTTTAACTTTTGACATACCATTTAAAATTAATAAGTGCCATCACATAATAACAAAGAAATTGGGCAATAAAAATAGATTAAAAAAATGTACAGTGTAAAAGTTTTATACAATATCGGCCCATTACTCACTATTCTTTTTTAATAATCATTGTCTATTTAAAAAATAATACAAATGAATTATAGAAATATATTGACTGTGTATAAATATGTACACTGATATTATATAGATATTCTCATAAAAATATTGTTAATCAAGTGTAATTTACTATGATGCCCCTTAAAAATTAAAAATTTCTTATTTTGTTGTATAAAAATTATAATAATATTTGATGTTTTGTTCTATTTCTAATTTTATACTATCTATTGAAAAAGTGGGGTTGCCTTTTTTGAGAGCAAAAAGTTTTGAAATAGAGTTCAGACTGAGCCATACATGTGACAATGTGTGCATCTTTATTCAATCAAACACAGTGTTATTTAATGTTTATCCATAAGAATAAGATTCACTGTGACCTTGTCAAACTCAGGGTCAAATCTGGAAGATTTTATTTTATGAGTGGGTTGAACACTTTTTTAATACTTGACACCAAAAAGTTAAAGGTCTAGTATTTTTTAAAATTAAATAACTTTAGACTTTTCTCTCCTCATAGGGGTATGGAGAGAATCTCATTTCCTCTTTTCAACATATATTCTTTTAGTGAGTGAATAGGCATAAGTTACTGAATATTAAATTCATGGAGTAAAATGAGTAACACATGAAGCCCAATTCAATAATAAGTATATATATTGAAGCATGCTTGTTAAAAAGATATGATAAAAGTGTTTCTCCTTGAATTAACATAAGAATCACTTAGTATCATTAAAGAATTGAGATCGATTTTGTAAGTTTAAATAACTTAATTCATATATTAGTCATTAATCTTAGAAAAATTTAATGGTTTGAATTAGTGAGTAAACTATTATATTTTCCTAGAATTGATGACTAAGATGTGGAGTAAGTTTTTTAAACTAACTCTTTGAGTAAAGTAATTATGTACCATGTGGCATGTGCATATGAAAAAGGATAAATTAATTGACCATATTGAAAAGATTTATACTGAACATTCAATATTCATTTGAGTTACTTTTATTTAAGAATATATAATAATCGAAAATGAATGATATATAATAGTAACAATATAAAAAACTCTTATATTGTTAGTGTATAAATCTTTTTCTCAAATTAATTATGATGTCACACATGTATAAAATATAGTTTTTTGATCTTATATGATATATGGGGTCCGATTGTATTTAATTACTAGACTAACTCTTTTTTGATAATATAAGATATGATTAAAAAAATTGATAATCTAGGACAAAAATATAATTTGACGTATAATGTAAATTATAAGACATAAGTCATTTGAATATTATTAAACCATAGCTTGTAATCAAATGATTGTTTTTAAATCAATAAATAAAAAGTACAATTATTTTTTATCAAATAAATATTTTCTCTTGCTTGCCAAACACACTTATGAAAGATAGTGTGTGTATTTTATTATTACTATTATTATTATTATTATTATTATTATGAATTATAGTAGTAGTAGAGTAGAATTAAGATAGACATGACTGTTAAATTATTATCACCAGTTCCAATCTTCTCACATGCAAACCCCATTTTCCACCATGAATGTGATTCACACATTCCATAAACAATTTATTATATTGGTCTAATATGGTGCACTGAGATTGTCTTCATTCACCTAAGATATTTTATAACTTATTACAATTCTCATGAAATATGAATACATTTATCTTTTTCTTACAATAATGACATATATCATTTTTATTTGGGTATCATAACATATCATATTATTAACCAAATATCGCTCTCTCATAAGAATTCATAAAGTAAGAATGTCACACTAGAAAAAATATTCTTAAATGTTGTAAGTGGCCAATAAATTCTTGGTGCAAGAGCCAGGCATAATGAAAGTTCCTCTAAATGGGGTCCTTAACTTAAAGTATAGCCACTTGAAGACTCAAGCTCTTAAATTCACTTTTACTCACTCATTTTCTCCCTTATATAAATGCATGACGAGGTACCTGTGTTTGGTTCACTATAGAATGGTTATATTGTTATTGGTGGGTAGGTCTTGTTGGAGAAGCAGGGCACGTGCAATATCTTTTCCGACTCTAACCTCTTCTTCACAAGCCTCTAGTTCGATCTGATTTTGCACGTGCTCCCCTTCTCCAACACGATTTTCCTACCATGCATGCATCTTCTTTGGATTTGTGGTAACATTATATCAATATCGATCATAGGTTAATTACATAACCAAGGTGGATATAGTTGCATGCATGTTATTCACTTAATTGCATTTTTGGTGAGTGGTCACTTTCATACACAAGGCTTTTCATTTTATAATATGATTCATGTTTTTCAGGTACTAGAGAAAAACTTTGGATAAGAATATAGAAGGAATTGAAGAGAGTTGACAAAGAAGCTTTATCTCCATTTTTTCATGCTGATATGAGAAAGAGAAGTCTCTAGAATCTTGATTGTAGCTATGGAAGCATAAAATAGGGATGTGTTATCATTGTTTAATTCATTTGTGTATTTGAAGATGTCAAATTCTATCAATTTTCTTACAATAAATCTAATAATATCTATTTCTTATTTGCTTTTTATCTTTTATCTCCACCTATATATTTGTCGAAATGACACTTTGGTTACTTTAAGGAATAGTTTATCCTTCCTTTATAAATGAAAGAAATCGAAAATTAAATTCAACACTTTCTTAATTTATAAAAACATGTTTTATTAGGAAAAATTCATTTTAAAATGCTTATTAATCTCAAGAGTATTATACTGCCATTGCCAATATTTTAAATGAACAAATTTAACAGAATAAGGTCCAGATTAGAAACAAAGAAAGTAGAACCAATTATAATCAAATAATATAAATGGTGTAAGTAACATTTAAGTATTTGCATGTCACATTGTTATTTTGAAATGCTTTGGAAATAATTATATAAATTAATAATTATGACAAGCAAAACGATATAAAACTAAGACATCTCATTATTTTATGGATAAAAAATAACAAATATCGCTCTCAAATGTTAAACTTTAACTTTTATTTGGATTCAACAAAACAAATTCCACACTATTTTTACTTGGTTACATATTAACTAGTAATTAGGAAAGAAAATAAGATAATATTTCAGAACAGATTACGAATATATGTGAGTTTATATATACCATGGTTTGCAAATTGTGAGTGCCAGTGCATCATTACATACAATGCTCTTTATTAAAATTTATATATTAAATTCATCAAAGATAATTTTTAGTAAAACTGAAAAATAAAATGCATAGTCTAACAACATGAATTATAAATTTTACAACTTTATCCTCAATTTGTTAATAAAAAGGTAACGAGTAAAACTGAATCACTACACTTATGATAAATAAATAAATACTAAATGAATAAAATATTATATAGTATAATAGTTCTTAACATCTTACATAAGTTCCTTTTAAGGTTATAGTGCACAAGTTAATAAATGTAATTAATATGTCTAATTGTATTAAATATATGTAATATTTTAATAATTTCATTGTTTATCATTATTATAATTATACGGGGCCCTCATTAAGTAAGATAAATTTTAAAAATTAGTAATTAATATTTTCATAATTTGATTAAGAAACAAATAAATATATTCAAATTAATTTTTTCAATGAAGTCAAAAGTAGTGTTATTAATATCACACTTAACAAACCGATCAGGATACTGACACAATAGTATAATAGTTCAATATATGGTTCACTAATTAAACTGCATACGGATGAAATTAGATATACATATATAATATATTAATATTAATATTGAAAAATCAATGAAAAACAATATTTTTTTTATTTTCATAATAAATTAATTTTAAATAAAATTGGTCTGTATGATCGGTTTTGACCAATATGATTGCATAATCAATATTATTATTGTACTGTATCGATATTGGGACTAATTTATCAATTTACTGGTTGAACCGACTAACATAAACCGAGTATTACAACACTGATAAAAGGAATGCGATAGCATTTAGAATATCCAACACTAGTTATCAAAGTTTTAATCTTGTTTTATTCCAAGGAAAGATGAAGTTAATTATTAAAAATTATTATGTATTTATATTGTTGAAGTGGTATAGAATTATAGATGACGTAGGAAGCACGTTGGTTATAGAGTTGAGAATTAATTTGCATGAGTGTTTGACTATATATGACGAATAAGATGATATAATAAAATGTACTTTTCTCTGCAAAGTTAAGTCATAGTAGCTAGACAAACAAAACAGTGTTGAACAAGAAAGTGAAGTTGTGTAAATGTTAAGAGATAGCGTGAGGATAATATATACTGTCTCTTCAATTTTTGAGAGTACAAAACTATAAGAAGAACATCACTATAACTAGAAGTAATTTTCCCTTACAAAGTGGGGGACTTTTGGTTTTTTTCATTGATGTTGATGTTGCTGGCCCATTTTAGTTCTGCATGTAAGAAATCTCATTTCATATGTAGTGTTGGAAATTGAAGTGTAAGAAGAGAGAGACAACAAAACGAACAAGGATCACTCGACTCGAACGGTGTCCCAATATCTGTTCCGAACCAATAATAATATTACGTTTTGTTTTTAAATTTTTTCTTTAAGTAATATGGTAATATATCATTAGTCGAGGATAGGAAATAGACACGGTTCAGAACACATGATTCTTATGCAAACAAAAGAAGGTAATGTTGCCAACTTAGAAGAAGAACCTTAAATTGCAAGCAATGATAAGAGATCGTGATAGTGATAAAGTATTTAAGATTTGATGGAAATTAGTGTCATTTGAACACGCAATGCACAAATATCAAAGTTTTACAAGTTACTCACCGTTTTGATGATTATGCCACAGAAGGAACAAGGGCTTACATCACAATTCTGCACAACAATATATTTTTGACTAAAACATGTGTAAGAGACTTCCAAGGGAGCACAATGTCCATAAGTTACTGTTGTAGTAGTATCCTCTCCATTAATGGAGGAATAAATGTATGTTTTTCATTTGTTTTTAATAGCAAAATTATAATTTTATTGTAATTAAAGAAATATATATAATGTTGTAATTAAAGAAATATATGTGTCATTAAATATTGCATTTTTTTTATTTTTGAAGCATTTGTCTCTCTATTAATGGAGATGATACTAACTCAACTTAAATATATTTGAACTACTACCAAATGAAATAGGATATATATATATATATATATATATGAGTTTAATATATGTCTGTATGTGTGTATTATAATCAATAACGGTTAATATATTGAATGATGAATAATATATTAATTATGCAAAAAAATTATTCTATGAATGTATTAATATTAATCTTTTTATTTATTAATAATTGTTTATAAATAATATATTATTTTATTGTATATCAAAATTCTACAACTATGAAGATATAACCCTTTGTAGGCAATAAAGAAAAAAAGAAGAAGATTGGGTCACATTTCTTTTCCTAATTATTAAGTTGTCTATGAAATTATAGAAATTTAGTCATGCATATAAGAACGCTTTCTCTCTAATTAATATTTTGGTTAATGTAAAATATTGTAAAGGAATTTATATGCCCTAACTTATTGGGAATTTTTTTAGTCTCTAACCAAACTGTGGTAATGACATATTTTGTTATTGAATAAATTTATATTATGAACTCACTTATAAGTCTCTTGAATGTTTTGTTATAGTAATGGAATTGAAAAATAAGCAACTAAAGCCTACAGTACCATGTTCCAGACTTCCAGTGGCATTAGAATGATGATCATAATTGGGGTACACCACTTCAATATTAACAATTACTCCTATGAATTGAACAATTATTTCCATGAGGATGGATTTATCTATTTAGTTATTCAATGAACTCAGGCTATAATCTCATCAATTCCTTCATTTCAGGCTATAATCTCTTATGGTAAAAATAATTGGATTATTTGCATAAAAGTCTATATAATCACATTAGCCATGCATATATTTCTGAATACAAAGCATTTGCAGAGTGTTGATATCACACATAGATAGTTCCACACCACAAATCCAACCACTTAATTTATCTATCACTTGAGATGAGAATACCCAAAAAGGTATCTCTTCAAAAACATGATTTTGCCCAATTGATATTATCTTATTTTATGCCCTTCAAGCCAAAGAAACTAGAGGAAGCCAATGTCAATCACACTGCCCCACAAAGATCAATTCCAGGGCTAGCCAAAGTATATAGTTTGTCATAATATGTCAGCCACAGGCTAAATCATTATGTAACATTTCTCAAGCATATATAAAATTTGATTTTCCATAACAATGGTTGTTTGCTTCACAAGAAACCTTGCATAAAATAAGCATGTCACCGATTTTGTGAAGGCATTCTTTCTGGACCGTGCCTTAATCGAAAGCTGTTGGATCTGATACCTGGGTCTGACATGCTGGCCATCTGGCGGTATGCTCTCCGACTTGGATCTCTATCAATATGGTTCAATGACAATGAAGGCAATTGGTCTCTTTCCCAAGCATGGAAGCGACTTGGCAGATGAGTTTCTTCTTGAAAATGGTGTCCTGGTGAACCTGACGGGACAAAAAAGAAACCACCGCTATGGTCTGTTGATAAGGTCACTGGTGCTAATTGAGCTGGCCCACTATGAGTGCTGGATCTTCGAGTCATGGAAGCAATAGGCGTCCGCATTGTGATTGAATTAGGAGGTTGTTGAGTTTGATAGTAAGCTTGTAGAGCCTGGTCTCTATCATGTGCCCGAGCAATGCTGCCCGGATAAGGAGGGATCGTTGAAAATGTGACCGAGCTTCCAGGTCTAGCAGCAGAACTGTGGAATTACATGTACTATGTGTCAACCACGTGACCTTAGCAAATTTAACTAGCCAGCAAAAAGTGCCTAGTTCATTGTTTTTTTTATCTATTAGTTGATTTTAACACAAATTCACTACATGTTTGACACCATAAGACAAAATATGAACATATAATATAATTTGTCTCCCGTTGTCACGTTTGAACTATAAACTAACTTCAGCAATCACAAAAGCATCTTAGTAAAGTAAACAAACTCCAGATGTACCCGTTACCAACAAGGAAGGGATGCATAAGAGATCCTGATATCGGGACCTCTGAACCGCCCCTGGCTGGCCTTTGAGTACCAGGTGATACTGAGG